TACTGCGTATAACAGATTTGAGTAACTGCAAGAATGGATAGCTGTCTTTTAATTAGGGGAGGGGAATCATATTTATAACTGTAGCAAAAGTTGGTTTAATTAACTGTACAACTCCACTAGAGCTCTGTCTACTAGTAAGTGCAGGCTCGATAGCTTTAACATTATGTCGGTATTTTCTTCTTTCTCTTCCTTTCTTCCAGTTTTAATTTATTCCCAATCTCATGGATAGTTCTTAGATAGTTCTAGAGAATTCAAAAGCTTGTTCATGGCATTGCAAATTTATCTAAGCTGAAGGCCACCATCACATTTTGAGATTATACACTGAAAAGAAGAATCTCCAAGTTCAGCTTCATTGGATTATTATAAACCAAATTATAGTATTGTGAGAGAAATATTCTGTTCTTAGTCTACTTTCTCTTTGTCATGCATATTTCTATAAAATATATTATATTTATGTAACGTATATACTTCAAAAATTCTCACATCTAGGAATTATTTTATCACCCATTACATGTGCTTAGCATTTTTAAACAGCCATGCAAAAGTGTTTTGTAGATGAAAAAAAATGACATACTTTCATATTTGAAGGAATGTCCTTCATACACAAAGTTTATGAGTACAGCTGTTTTTGAGTGTAGAATATCTGTCATTACTATTCTGCAACTACTATTAAGCTAAGTATTTATTCTCAATTCTGGGAACTGGAGTCTATACATCCGAAGGGTGACCTAATTAGGGAAGCTTAGCTTATGGCCTCCCTTGGGATTTTGGCTTATCCTCCATATCTATATGACATTGCTGGGAGATGGTTTTCTGAGAATTTGCAATTGGATAGCAATATATGGATAATACCTGCTACTCGCTCTCCTTTGATTGATTGATTGATTGATTGATTGATTATGTACCATCAAGTCATTTTCGACTCCTAGTAACCACAAAGATAGATTTTTTCCACGACAATCTGTCCCTAGCCTGGTCTTTCAGGTCTTCCAATGGTTCACTGCTGGTCACCCTCTTCTTCTCTTTCCTTCCACCTTTCCCAGCACTAGACCCTTTTCCAGAGAGCTAGGTCTTCAGATAATGTGTCCAAAGTAGGATAGTTTGAGACTGGTCATTTGTGTCTCGAGTGAGAACTCTGGGTTGATTTGTTTGATGAACCATCAGTTTGTTTTCTTGGCTATCAACAGTATTCTCAGGAGTCTTCTCCAGCACCAAAGTTCAAAAGCATCAATATGCTTCCTATTGTGCTTCTTCAAAGTCTCTCCTTTGACTCTGACATTTTTATGAATGTCATAGCATAGTAATAGTTGGATGTGGGCTAATAAAATGAAATTGTATCTAGTTAATATGAAGGTGCTGTGAGTAATTAGCAAAACTGAACCAGGACAAGGGTTATGCCTTGGTGTACATAGGGTTTTATACCCTTTGAAAGACAAGACCTGCATTCATATACTTAGGTTGTGCTTGAATATGGTTGTGAGTACAAGTGGCAAACCTGGCTAATATTTATTTTTTGCCCAATTTAAGCTAGGTGCACCAGCAAATATATCCTCATTCTCATCTGCTGGCAGGAACTCTTCAAGTATCAAGGTTCTGTAACAAATGTGGGGCTATGCCATTTCAGCTTTACTGTAGATCACGGTTGTTTCATGGTAATTGCTTCCCCTTTTTTTCTGAGCATACTGTAACGCCCTGGTTCTGGAATTATAATACTCCAAACAGTTTTAACTAAGGTGACAAAAAATCAGATGGAATCTACTGGCACTTTTTCTGATTAACAGATTTATTAAAAGGCATAAGCTTTTGTGAATAGCAGTTCACATAATTTTTCTAACCAAATGCAAACAACATGACGTCATTCCTAAAGGATTAAGCAAATGCCCTCTACAGTCTACAGACTACAGCTAAAGATCATGCCATACTCTCTCCAGGAAACTCAGTATCCTTTGAAATGAGCAAAAGTTAAACACCAATGCCATCTCCACCCTGGAATTTCAACTGCATCAGGAGTTCACCAGGACAAGACAACAAACTTACACAACAGAGCACACCTCTTGGAAGAAAAAGAAAGAGAACAAACTGTCCATGCTTCTACAAACATCCACTCACCAGAATGGAAGGACTCTGGATTAGGTAGCATTTCTCCAGGTGGAACTCACATACATTTGTGGGTCCTCCTCAACTTGTGGCCCCTGCTTGAAGAGTAGGTGGCAGCTTTGGCTACGAGGGCCTCACCAAATATTTATAATGAGTACCAGTTGCATCCTCTCCTGCATCAGGAAGCTTTTCTCATAATCATTCATGTATTACTCACCCCTCACATCTCATTTGGATTGCAGCAATGCAGTGTGTAGACTACTTGGAAGCTACAGCTAGTTTGAGCAGTTATGGTTGTATGGTTAAACCTTGGTAAGCCCATATTACACAAGATGCACTAGTTTCCAGTTGGCTTCCAGGTACAATGCAAGGTATTGATGGTTATCTTTAAAGCCCTTTATATATTAGGGCCTGTTTATTTGCAGCCTCTCTCCAATTCTCTCTGCCCATCCTGTACAATCCTTCAGGGTTGGCATGCTTCAGACCCCCTCACTCACGGAATGTAATCTGGTGAGAGTCTTGAAACATGCCTCCTTTATTGTTGTTCCTGCCCCCCAAGGTCCACACGGCCTCAACCCTTCTGTTCTTCAGGAATGCTATAAAGACCTGGGTTTTCCAGCAGGTCCTAGGCCATTGGGTTTTGTCAGCCCCTTGTATGCTATGATTATTTTATTTTTCTATTCCCCAAATCATTGTTTCTGTTTGTTTTTCTTTTATTGCTATATTGTGTTTTTAACTTGACTCCATCTCCAAAATCAGGTTTTCTCAGGGTGGCGTAAAACACACATAACAAATTAGGATTGTTGGGAGTTAGATGGCATATACATTTAAATGATGATGATTATAATGTTCTGTCCGCATGAGGAAAAAAAAAGAGAGAAATTATTTTCACTCAGGTTATTTCCAAGTTTTATGCATAGTGCCAATGCATAAGCATGTTTCCTGTTAGTAAATATAGCTTTGAACTGACTAATTTATAATACTATGAAAGTCTATTAAAATCTATTAATAAACATTCCTTATTTATTAATTTACTTATTAAATTTGTATGCTGCCCATCTCCCCCAATGTCCCCATAAAACACACAGAGATCAGTTATTCTGTACTGATTTAAGCAGTTAACTTCCATACTTTGGCAAGTCAGTGAACATTTAATGTGTCTTTTTGTTTGTTTTCCATTTGCACTAAACCATTTTAAAGTTATAATCTGATTAAAACCACTAACTCCTACAGTCTATATAACTGCACATGCCACTAACATTTTGCAGACAAAATTGGGGCAGAGATTCTTGTATGAAACTTGGCATCATTCAGATTTAATTTTTATTTTTGTGGGTCAAAACTCTTTGAAAGAGGCTTTGAAAGAAATCTTGTTCTTTCATGCTTAAAAGAAATAACCTTCAGCAAAAAGTGCACATGACAAGAATTGTTTCTTAATGCTGGTAACATAATGTCATTCACTACACTGTTTGCACATACAGTAAGCCAAAGATTAAACCACACGATGGCTTAGTGTGATGTATGAATCTAGCCACTGAAATCTGCAGTCTTTTATCCTCTTCTTATTCCACTGTGTCCCTTCTAAGGCTATAGGTGGAATCTAAAATTAAATTTAGTATCAAAAGAAAGACCTAATATAGAAAAACACTTGTTTTTATTTACTAATATTTTGTTTGTGTCAGATATATAAAAATCTTAAATCCTCAATAAATCTTCTAAAAATGTAAAATTTATAATATTATTTAATTTCTTTTGGTCTTCAAAGACTTGACTTGCTGAATTAAACCAAATATTTCTCATGGTAAAAGACAAATTGTTAATATTACATTTAAAATTGACAGCATGTTAACCTGTGGGATTATGCGGTATTTGTTGATTTTTAAAACATGGAATCTTGTTCATTGGTGCTTGTAGAACATAATCTAATTTGGATTACTTCTGCTTTTTTAATGACTTTTTTTTTCTTATTCTCTCAATTTGCACCCATATATTGCTCATACTTGAATCATCCAAAATTACATCAGATTCATACAATCATACCAATGAGTTACAGACTTGGGACATATTTATATGGAAATCCCATGATTGAAAGTTTTGTTGTAATATGTTACTCTGCTCTAAAGCCTTGGGACTTGAGCAAGAGCACTATGCTATGTCTCAACTCCTTCTGGTGAAGGCTTATGCAGAAACACATTTTTCGAGATTGTGCCTTGGCTTGCTATGACCAGAACTATTTCTGATGTTGTATGGATGAAATGGGTTTGCTCTAAACCAGAATGACTATTGCTCAACTGCAGTCATCCTACGTCACTGTTTATGAGCAATGTTATGAGCACTGTTTATCGGTTTTCTTTTGAAGTCCCTTCATGTTTTCATAAAGGAATTATATTCTATAAAGAAAACTAAAACAGTTGGAGAGTTATTTTAGCACCAATTTAACAGGCTTTATGCAGATAGCATCTTAGTTTCTCACTGGTTGTGGAAAGCAGTTCTGAAATATTTCTGCTGTGCCTTTTTTTTGACTGACCCTGACTCTGTTAATCTTCATGAAGGTTTTGAAGATCTGGCTAATAGGATGTTAGATGAGCTCATCTGAGAGATAAAATATATGCTGGTGTGCCCCAGATGTGTGTTTTGTCATCATTGTTGATGTTTGTTTTTGTTGCTGGGGATATACATGTTATCTTTCCAAAAATGAGCAAAATCAACAGTGACTTTGATTTGTAGATATCCATCTTTATTTTCTTAGATTTTATAGATGCTGCAGTATGTGACAAATTTCTTTCTTATATTGATGGATTTTTTTCTCTGAACTTTGTTCCTTCCTACTGCCAAGAATTTTAGTAATAAAGGTTATTTGCTAACTATGCACTGACTTACCAATACCTGGTTAACTGTTTCAGCTCTCAGAATGGCAGATGAGAATACTTATCTCTTGGGGATGGGAGATCATCAGGTGAGTATCTGTACCTAATAATAGTAATAGTAATACGGAAATAATAAAGTATAAAATGTAAAAAAAAATATGAAATTGTATTGCCTCTTTAACAAATGAAGACTTTTAGAACATTATGCATTCTGCAAAACATATCTAAAATATGCCTAATTTAGGTAAAGTACATCATGAAATAACCCATAATGGGAGCACATCAGTTACCATACGACTAGACATTCTTATTCTTCATTTAGTATGTTGTACCTATGATACTTTAAAGGCTAAGTAAATCTTCCACTGTTGCCTGTCAGGATTGGACCCACAGGTCCTCCACCACTGTACTGAGAAGCGACTGTTTCAAGAAGTGGGAGTACCTTAAAGTGAGACTTTCCCTCCTTATTCCATTCTTCCTTTAAGCAATTTGAGTAAGAAGCCAAGCCAACCTATAGGTTGGGTAAAGGGAAGAATGCTTCTTTTTTATGATCCTGGTGCCTTGAAACCACTTTTCCTTTGACATTACCTATTATTTGCCTTTTCCTTTGGGAAGGTAACCACACCAGATCATTGACAAAAGCTTGGGTTTTTTGTTTTTTTCATCTCTACCAACGTTGTGGGTTTTGGTTTGGTTTGGTTTTCTGGTGCCTTCAAATCACTGTTGACTCTTGGAGACTGCCTGGACAAGTCCCTGCAGTTTTCTTGGCAATTTCTTTGCCATTGCCTCCTACCCAGGGCTAAGAAAGAGTGACTGGCCCAAGATCACCATCTGGCTTTGTGCCTAAGGTGGGACTAGAACTCACAGTCCCCCGGTTCCTAGCCTGATACCTTAACCACAAACTGGTGTTAAGGAGCTATTATGTTAACATTTCTGTTAGTCACTTCTCATCTTCTTAGCTAAGATTCTTACTAACATTCTGCACCCCTTAGTTTATGTATTTATTTCAAAGAAGATTTTTTTCTGAACCCGTACTCCAGAGTCAGTTTGATAAATATCTGATACACTGTATAAAAAAGAACTGGAAATAAACACAATTGAGGCCAGAGAGCCACCACAAATAGCATATTTTTATTCTTATTCTAGTAAAGATGTGAAGTAAGCTTTTTGAAAGCAGACATATAAACACTTTACTTGGTATTGCATTTTAGGTTAGTGTATCCTGAGTGAGTCATAACTATAATTTAGATATTTCTTCATTTGTTCATTAATGAGTGGGAGCTGCAACTTTTTGACACTTATGAATCTATGATATGATATTGAAAGTAGTGAAAGGCAAAATTTCCAAATAAATAGCATCCACCTACCAAAACCTGTGAAGCATAATTGATTTTGTTGATATTGGTTTGGTGGAGGGTTTGTGGGTATATGATTGCTGGAAATTAGTTTGATTATCTGTACCAAGGCTAGGCAATGAATATGTGCAAGGATACCAGTTATGGTGCCCACTAGGCTACCTGCCCCAAATAACTTTATTTTTATTATAATTTTTTTAAAAAAAAACAGCAGCAGCAAAGCTGCCATATTGCAGAACAAAGTACCAAAAATGAATCTGAACCTCACATGTGCTGTGATTTTCTAAAAAAAAAAAAATCATTTGTAGAATACAAACAATGCTGGCGGGTTCAGCCCTCTGCTTTGCTTAGAAGTATGCTCACCTGCCCAGAAAAATAAAAAGTTAAAGGTAAGCTGAGAAGGTAGAAGTCATCCTGGGTGTTAAACTGATAGCAATGACCAACCTCGACAGTTCATATTTTTGTAAATTGCCAAGCCTAACATTGATATCCCCCACCATGCTTTCTTTGTGATTGCATCCATACATGCTGTAAAATGTGCCCCAGAGTTGCAAAAGGTTACCTACCCTCTTGTATAATAAATCCTCAGAAATTTACAACAGGAACATTGATATGGGAAATAACAGAAGATAGAGAGGGAAGTAGAGGCAGGACTAAACAGGAGAAGAATTCATAGTTATTTCAGTAGGATGTATTTAGGTTTTTTTATAATGGAATATGGGAACTAGTTGGTTGAAACTTTGATTCAAAGTTTTCTTTAAAAAGGCATAATCTGAGTGTGATTTGAATGAAAAGAACATGCAGGTTCTTTGGGAAGCATTAGGGTTTATCGGTTATTACATGAATACATCACATATAAATTTATTTAGAATTACATTTATCTCAAGGTGACACGTGAGGATCTTCCCTCATTTTGTCACCCAACAATTCTGTGAGATACTTTGGGTTGAGAGACAGAGAATATGAAACATCTTAAAATTGCAGCTTACACTTGAAATGGGAAGTTGAATGAAATTTCATGCTCAGAAAGATTCAGAATGAAATGTTTTGCAGACCCATTTTATTGTAGTTATACAGTATTTTTGTATTTCTTACCTGAACTGCATTTGGATTTACCTTCAGTACGTTTGCACGCTGAATTATAATATGCCAGACTCCAACTATTGTTTTTTCATGTTTCACAATGTATTTGGAGTTTTCACTGTTAGCTATACTAGATGGCTAAGAGTGGATAATTCATACCAGATACTGTAAGTAGCTAGAAGGTGAAAATGCTGAATGGTGAGGTAGCACAGACATAGTAATTGTGCAGGACAAAATATAGTCACCAAACAAATTATAATATTTGATTTTTGAACTAGCTTTTATAAGCGTCTGAAATAACTGGACTTATTCAAAATGCAAACATTCTTAACACAGGTGTATACAATGGAACATTTTCCCTTGGGGATGAATCAGCTGTACAATAACACAAGCATGATTGCAACTGATCTGCCACTTCGCACAAGTAAGAGCCATTGTTGCTTGATTTAGCATTTACTAATAATATCTACATATACTGATGATGGAAAGAGATTTTTGTAAAAAAATAAAATAAAATCAAGGAATGTGCTTTTAAATGACTATTTAAAAAATACTGCCCAGAATATTTGAAATATTTTTGCTCCTTGACATGGTTAGCTGGACATCTATAACTTTAAAATAATTGAAGTTATTAAATTGGTGCCTGAGTTTGCTGTCTTTACATTTGCCTTATTTTTTTCTCTCTGATTGTATTATATATTTTTAGATTATAAGACTGCAGGCAGGAATTATTTTATTTTATTTGGCTAATTTTATGTGAGGAATCTTTCCTGGGTACCTCTTTGTCTCAGAAGCAGATAAAATGCTACAGTTAAATGATAGATAAATAATAATGATTAAATGGTTACAAATAAATATTAGTGATTTGGTATCACTTACTGTCAGGATTCGTGTATGTGTATGAATTTGTTCTCTGTAACCGGTAATGTTGGACTGATGAAAGCCATATATTTGCATTGTGAGATCAAAGGCATTTATGTTCTAGAATTATGTATTTTTACAATAGCAAACTATCTATGTAAAATCCCATTTATTCTATATGTTATATTGTTCATTACTTTATATTTCTTTCCATACTAAGACCTTCTGCTAATCCACCCCAAGTGATGTTAAGTCTAATCACAAAATGTTTTTCTCAGAATATAGAGATTATCATTGTCAGGACCAGTTCTTTCTGGATTCTTAATTTTCTAATTACATGTGGCATCACTATACTTGTGTTTGCGTTACATACTGTCTGTCACATAGAACTCACAATCACACCCAGAATAGCAGCATTCCCAATCTGCTGTCTATTCCTAATCTGTACGTTAATTTGTAAACCCTTATTAATATATTTTGTTCTGAAAGTTTCACTGTGATTGGTTAGATCTAGGACAGATTTCACAATGTACAATAAATGTACGTCAGAGATAAGAATGATAATTCATAACATATGGATTGATCACCCAGTACACCAAATCTGTTTTCTAGAACAAGAGTTGAGTTCTAAGAATTGCCAGACTTGGTAGCCATTACTCATTAACTAGATGGCTAGAAAAGAAAAATCTTTAACAAGGGCAGTTTCTCCCATGATCGTTTTCTAAAATGTAAAAACAAATTATGTGAACCCAAACTATACATTTTAAGGTGTTCCATAGGGCAGAGGACGTGAGTTGAATTGGGAAAGGATATTTTGAAATATTGGACAATGAAAGGCATTGTCAGATAACATTCTGACCCTTTTTATATTATCATTGTACAGTTCATTCTTTTGTGTGTGTGTGAGAGAGAGAGAGAGAGAAATACTTGGGAAATTTGGGGACTTCCTGAAAATAAATACCCTGTTCTTTGCAACCACGCAAAGATGACAGGGTTTTTTTGTTGTCGTTGCTATAGTTCTATAGGCTGTTTCCCCAAATTAAACACCAAAGATGACTTAAGAACGGACCTGGATGTTCTTAACAAACAGTGCAAGGAAGTGTGAATGATTTGTATTCTCATGTCATTTATTGCATGAAAAATGGGAATGGTAACTCATTTTCTCTACAGGGAAATGTGTGAACTCAGAATGTACCTTGATTTCCTCTTTGAATGTTAACCTCTTCTATTCATTATTTATTATATATGAAGATGATTCGAAAGTTAAGGCTACTGTTGAATGTATTGTCGAAGGCTTTCACGGCCAGCATACGATGGCTGGTGTGGGTCTTCTGGGCTGTGTGGCCGTGTTCTGGAAG